GAATCTCTTTTTAGCATTTGTTCTTCTGTCTCAAGACATCACAGCTGAGCACGGATTTATCTTGTTGGTCAGGTTGCCCTGGGTGATCTGTAGGATGCCTGAAACAGGGATCCCATCACCTGCAGGGATCATGTTCCAAGGGGCCCCCTGTCTCACAGACACCCCAATCCTCCCACTACTTTGCCACTGTCTGAGATGCAGCTTCTCAACTCAAAACTACTACCCTTTTCCTCATCACTTGGATGGGGGGGGAGGGGTCGATCTTAGACCTCAACAGGTACGGCGGGCATTGACGATTCAAACACCTGTCTTAGAAGCCCAAGGAAGGTAATGACTTCCTTGAGCCAGTCAGGATAGCTTTGAGACACAGTAGGGAGTGGTGGTGACTGGTGGTGACTGGGGCTGCCTGAAGAGCCTTTGAAAATGAGCAGTGGCTAAGGTGTCAAGTGGCTGCCGAATTTCCAGATCTTCCAGCTTTTCAAGAGAAAATGTATCTGCATTTTCTTGTAATCAGTTTTTTTTCCCCCTTTATTTTTTTTAAAATAACTATGGCAGTATAGTTTGCATCTTATATAATTCACAGTGTACGGTTCGGTGATAATTTTAGTTCACGCACCAAGTTGTTCAGTCATCATCATATCAGTTTTAGAACATTCTCATCCATCCCATCCATCCCTTTAAACCCCCATGTTGCTCTTCTCCTGGCCATCCCAGGCCTCACCCCAGGAGACTACCTTTCCTGTACTTTCTGTCTCTGCTGCTTTGGCCTCCATTGGTGCTTCCCATGAAGGGGATGATACAGTCCGTGGTCTCTTGGATTTGCCTTCTCTCACTGAGCACGATGCTGCCAAAGTTGGCATTTGTGTGCGAGTTGGTTCCTTTTTCTTGCCTTTTGGTGTTCCCTTGCATGATGTAACACTTCTGTGCACCCACTTGCTGTGTGTCCATCCACGTTTTTCTTTTCTTTCTTCTTCTTCTTCTTCTTCTTTTTTTTTTTTTTTGGTAGATATCTGAGGGTAATTGAATGCTTTCATGGTGGTCAGGAAACACACAGTGTTTTAAGCTTTTTATGGAACTGCTCAATTGTTTTTTCAAAGCTGCTGCTCCATTTTGCACTCGAGTCAGCAATGACGGAGGGTTCCTGTGTCTCTGCACAAGTTTGCAGCAACATGTCTTACTGTCCCTTTTTTTCTGGCTGTGGACATGCGAGTGGGTGTCAAGTGGGAGTCCCTCATAGTTTTGATTTACATTTCCCTAATGCCTAAAGGCTATTGGAGAGCTGTTGATTTTTTTACATGTTGGAATTCACTCAAATTTTGAAAAAAAGTAGCTGCCTATCAGTCCTCTCCAGATGGAACAAAACAAGTTCATGGGCTGGCACCAGCCCCGAGGGAACCCATTTGGATTTCTGACCTAGACCTTGCAAAACAATGGCCTGTGAACTTCTTTTGCGGGTAAAAACAGCCTAGATTGCCAGCAAAATATGACGGTGAAGAGAAGGATTTCTTACACTGGTTCTGCACTCTAGAATAAAAGACAAGCATCCATCTATTTATGCACATTTCCCCCAGTCAATCACCATGGGACTTGTTCCTCAAGTGAGCCCTTGAATTATATATTACTATCTTCCTTTTTTTTTTTCTTTTGAGATGAGGTTAAGTAATTTGTTTCAAAGGTCAAATACCTAGGAAATGACAGGCTTGGAATCAAAGCCATGTCTATCTGATTGTAAATCTTGGTGTTTTTCTCTTCAAAATGGAAGCACATGCTGGGCTGGAGCCACTCAGGGGATGGGAACAGAGTCCCAGGAGCCTGCCAGGGCAGGAGGATGGAGAGGCCCCGAGGGCGGGGGGCAGGTGAGGAAGGCTGCGGAGAGATTTGTTTCAAGGCCGGTGAGGCTAGCAGATGAAAGGAAGCTGGTGAGGGAGTGCTAGGTGGGATGTAGAGTCAGGAAAGAAGCAGACTTGGCAGATTTCCCTTCCACGGCTAGATGCCCAAGCGCTGGAAGAACTCCAGGTCTAGAAAGCCACTGCGGGACATTCTGTTTTTTTTTTTTAAGATTTGTAAGAAAGGCAGATTTAACATAGAGAAAGATCTTTCGCTTGCTGGTTCACTCTCCACATGGCTGTGATGGCCAGAGGTGAGGTAATCTGAAGCCAGGAGCTTCTTCTGGGTCTCCCATGTGGGTACAGGATCTTAAGGCTTTGGGCTTTCCTCCAGTGCTTTCCCAGGCCACAAGCAGGGGGCTGAAAGGGAAATGGAGCAGCTGGGACGTGAACCGGCGCCCATATGATATCCTGACATTTGCAAATGGAGGGTTGAGCTAGCTCATGGGGCCTAGGACAGTCTAAAGACTGATTTCTCATTAAGACACACGTTTATGTTACATTTAATTCTGGTGAGCTTCTTGGCCTCTTCTCCTGATGGTCCACTGCATTTGTTTTAAAATTATGGGAAACCACCTGCTTCGGGAACCCTCAGGGCTGTTCACGAGTGGGTGCCATCAGTATGGGCTATGTCATAAGAGATAGTGTCGGAGCCCAACAAACCTGAGACTCAGGCCTCCAACACAGAGGCTTTGACCTTCTCTTAAATATATTTAAAAAAATTGAGAGGTACAGGTGACCGCCTGCGATGCCAGTATCCCATGTGGGCACCAGTTAGAATCCTGGCTGTTCCACTTCCACTCCAGCTCCCAATAAGGAGCCTGGGAAAACATCCGAGGATGGCCTCCTGCACCCACATGGAGGACCCAGATGAAGTTCCTGGCTCCTGGCTGCAGCCTGGCCCAGCCCTGGTCTTTGTGGCCATTTGGGCAGTGAACCAGTAAATGGAAGATGCCTTTCTGTCTTGTCTCTCCCTCTCTGTAACTCTGCGCTTCAAATCAATAAAGCTTAAAAAAAATCAGAAGACAAATATCACCTACCTATCTTGAGCCCAGTTAGCTTGCACTCCAGTTGCTGACTGCATAAAGAAAGACATACTGGGACGTGGTGCGGTGGCCTAGCGGCTAAAGTCCTCACCTTGAACACACCAGGATCCCATATGGTCGCCAGTTCTAATCCCAGTGTCCCCACTTCCTATCCAGCTCCTTTTTTGTGGCCTGGGAATGCAGTCGAAGACGGCCCAAAGCCATGGGACCATGCACACATGGGGAAGACCCGGAAGAGCTCCTGTCTCCTGGCTTTGGATTAGCGTAGTACCGGCCAATTGGGGAGTGAATCATTGGACGGAAGATTTTTCTGTCTCTCCTCTCTGTACATCTGACTTTGCAATAAAAATAAATAAATCTTTAAAAAAGAAAGACATAGCCTCTGGTGGAACCAAGTCCTTAGTCACCTGGCTTTGGGGTAGGTACCCAGGTCGGTGTGGGTGGGGGGCCACATGCACCAGGACAAAGGACACGTGAGGCCTTACGCTCAGGGCTTCCTCAGGACTCTGCACTGGCTATCTGCCTTGGGCTGTCCATGAATTCCAACCATTTTTCCTTATCACTCCCTTTTTTCCCTTAAATTCCTTTTTTTTTTTTTTTTTAACCAGATTAGAAGCTTCCTAGGCTTAGGCACTTAGACATCTGAAAGGCTCCCCTGTCTAATACGCAGGAACCTCATCTTGCTGTCAATGCTCCAAACAGATGCTGAGCACTTCCAGCTTCCTAAGAACAAACCCACTGTGTTGTGACCTAGACGCTATCCTATTTATTCAGATGCGATGATGTCAGAGTTGGGTTGCAGTTGGCTTCACTTGCAGACATTTCATTAAATATTAATGAACTTCGATCCACCCTTTCCCCCCAGTTTCCTTCCTTTATTTTTCAGCTATTTCTCCTTTTTCTAGGTCTCAGACGTTTCAGAAGGCCCCAGGAATCCAGGGAATCCCAAACGGTCCCTCTCACGTGGGGAGCTCCGATGGATGGATGAATGAATGAATGAATGAATGAAGCATGATGGCGTCTCTATCCCCCACCCCCCCTTCAAGTCCTATTTCCCTCCAACGCCGGTCCGCTTTTCTTCTTCGGGAATCTTAACCCAGTCGGGAGACTAGGCTCCTAGGAGAGTGCGTCCGCTCGCTAACACCAACACTGCGGCAGCAAGCTCTCTCCTCCGGTGACCCGGCGTCCGACAGTGGCCGGAGCGCTTGAGTGCAGCCCCGGGGTGTCGCTAGCAGCAGCACCCCAGCAGCCTCAGCCGCAGTCCTAACAGCTCCAGCCCTAGCAGCCCCTGCAGCAGCCCCAGCCCTGGAAGCCCCAGCAGCCCCAGCAGCAGCAGAGCCAGGGCGCAGGGGGCGGAGCTGCACCCCTCCCCCACTGCAGGTGAGGCGCAGAGCCGCCCCCACCCCCCGCCCCGCACCCGAGGGTGACGTCAGGCCTCTGGCCCGCGCTCCCGCCCCGCTCCTGCAGGCTGCGCCCCCCGGGCCCGCGACTCCCGCGGTGGAAGCCGGTCCCCACGGCGAGGACACGCCGGCTGCGGCAACCCGGAGGGCGGCCGGGCGCTCGGAACCGGCGGCAGCTGCGGCCCCCACGCTAGGGCGAGGCGCTCCCGGCGGAGCTCGGGCCCCGGCCTCAGCTACACCTGGACCCCTCGCTCCTCCCCGAGCATCCGCAACACCTGGGCCAGGGGCCGCCGGCCGCGGCAGGTTCCGCACCCACAGCCTCGCGGGATCGCGGAGCGCCCTAAGTTAGCCTCAGCTGTCCATCTCCGCCCGAGTCAGCCAATCGCCTGCCGTCGTGCCGGCCGCACCTCCCGGAATCTAGGATGGGCAGGAGGGCCAGCCTATGAGATTGGGACTCGGGTGGCCTGGACGGGGAGCGGGAGCCAATGAGCGCCATCCCAGGTGGGTGGAGGGCGAGGACTCGGGAAGGTAGCTTCGTGCGGGTTGCTAACGTCTTCCCTTGGAGATGGGCGCGCAAACCGACCAGTGGGTCTGGGGGCGGCAGTGATGGGCGTGGGGTTGGCCCAATGAGGGTGGGAGTGGGTGGGGCAGCCCCGAGCAGCAGTGCTAAAGGAGCCCGGCGGAGGCAGCGGTGGGTTTGGGACTGAGGCGCCGGATCTGTGGTCGCGGCTGGGGACGTGCGCCCGCGCCACCATCTTCGGCCGAAGGTGAGGGAGGTGCGGCGGCGGCTCGGGTCCGAGCGCGGCGGCCGCTTTGGGAAGGAGACCGAGCTTGGTGTGTGGGGGCGGGGGGACACGGGCCCGGGTAGCCTCGGTAGGGCAGGGCGAAGCGGGCGCCGAGGGCGCACGGCTGAGAGGGGCTCTCCGGGCTGGAGGATTTGTGCTGCGGAACCCCCAGGTTCGTGGGAGCAGGGACCTGGACTTGGTGTGGGGGGGAAATGGGGGTGGAGATAACGGGACCCCGTTGGGTGGAGACGGGGAGACCCCACCCCCCGGAGGGGCGAGGGATGAGGAGCTTGATTGGAAACCCCTGCGGAGACTAGGGGCCGGGTGGGCGGCTGGGCGACCCCTGAGGGGGTGGGGGTGGGGATGCGGGGACCCAGGGTTCGGCGTGTGGTATCCTTGGCAGCGTGGAGTTGGAGCGAGGAGTGGGGTGATCCTGGGGTGCCCCGCGGTGCTGCGCCTGCCTCCTAGGAAGGGAGGGGTCCTGGGGTACGACCTCGGGTGTGTGGAGCGGGAAGAGGGGGTTGCGTCGGACTGGAAGGGCTACGGGGTGGTGGTGGGTTAGGCCCGGCCGGGTCTCCCCGCCACCCACCCCATGCCGCACACACCCGGGGCGTGGGGAAAGGGCTTCTCCGAGGGCTGGGACGACGGGAGGCGGACCTGTGGGGGGCAGTGGAGGGCAGAGGCTCTGCGCGGCCGGCCGCGGAGCGCGCGCGGCGGGCTCGGGGCTCGGGAGCGGCCGCGGGCGTGGAGGGCAGGGTCGGACTCTGCCGGGCCCTTGGGGCCGGAGAAGGGGAGTCGGGGGGCTGGGGAGGGCCCCTTCGGGGTGTCCCGGGGGGCGCCGGCGAGGCCCGCGCGGCTCCGCGGCGGTGGGGGTGGGGGGCGAGGCGGGAAATGTGGCGGGGGCGCGCTGCAGCCGGGGGTGGGGGGGAGGGCCGGCCGTGGCCTCGGGAGCCCTTCATTGTGTCAGGGAAGCCGGGGAGGGCTCGCCGCAGTCCCTTCCTCCGCCCCGTGCAGTCGGGGGAGTGTGTGTGGGTGTCCGGGAGGTGGGGCGGGGGTCACACCCCAAGCCCCCTTCCAAGCCAAGGAGGATTATCAGGTCGGAGAGGAAGTTGACGCCGCGGAGCCCAGGCTTTGCTGGGGGGCTTTGTGGGCCTGAGTGGGCGGATGCGGCCCTGAGGGGAGCCCGGGACACCCCCTCCCCTTCTCTGCCCAGTCCTGGGCCTGCTTGGGAACCGTTCTGGGCCTTAGGAAGGAGGTTGTCTGCCCGGCGGTGCTGGGGCGGTGGCTTGCTACCGTTATCTCAGTTTCTTGGGGGGCCTCTAACAGCTCGCTCTAAAGCTGCAGTGGCGGTGGCGGCTGGAAGGGGGTGGGCCGGGCCGGGGTGGGGTAGGGGAAGGCAGGCGGGGTAGATCCCGGCTGCGGATGAGACAAAGAACGCAGTTTTCGCCCAATAATATCATACTAAATGTAATAGTCTGGCTTGGCTGAGATTTTTTTTAGGACATTGGACACTGAGGGTTCTTTGAGTCGGGCTTCATGATTCTCCATAGCATCTCGCTCTGGAAAACTTTATCATCTAATTTATGGTTTGATCTGCTCCATTCATCTGTCCTTATTAATGCGGCTGCCGGCTCAGGGCTTTTGATGTGTTAAGAATGCCCTTGTGTCTGTCTGCAAAAGTGGCCATTTTAGGCATCTCTCTCCTTTTGCATCTTAACTTCAGCTCTTTCCCCAGCCTTATCTGCCGAAGGCATATGGTGTAAAAGGCTGGCCAAGGGATGTGACCTTGAGAGCCCCAGGGCTTTTTATTTTTGCTCCTTGGGGGAAACTGTGACAATGGAGACAGTGCAAGTGGAAGGTGAGATGGAGGAAATTTTGAAGGGCACTTTGCAGGCTGGAAGGCTGCCTGCTTGAGTGGGTTAACTACTTGGTTATCACCTAATGGAGAATTCAGTATCTTAGCCCTTGGCTAAGAGGGGTTTTTTTGGGTGGGGGAGGGGGATATATAACACAAGATAGAGATTAATGGGGGGTGATGGTGGCCTCTTGTGTTTGGTTTGTATTGGGGATCATCTGGTTAAGTGAAATCTTGGTGAATTAGCAGAGGCCCCAGCGCCTCTGTGTTACGTTGGTGACTTCACGGGTGGTATTACAGCCACGGGAGGACCCTGTTCTAGTTCATCTGTTTCGGAGGATGCTTTATGGTCATCCCCTCTGCCTACAGATGATGTGATCAAATGTGACACATCGAATTCTGTGTGTCTGGAAGGCGCTCACTGGCAGGTGACAAGTCTGCTGGGTGGTGTTTCCTTAGAAGTGGAAAATAACCCTAGGGGACAGAGCCCCAGGGGTGCGCATACTTCAGACCAAACAAGGAGAGCAGCTAGCTGATTCATACAGTGAGAAATGACATGGTTGTAATTAGAGAATTATTTCAGATGACACTGAGATAAACTCCAGGACTGTGTGTCTTGTTCCCTATTTCTCCCCAACTGGAGGCATCCTTCTCCGTTTTAAGTACAAAGCCTCTGCCAGATTGTGCCAGTGTGTGCACTGGCTCTGCTGTGTGCTGCCTGAGCCGCGCTGGCCAGGGTGTTTGTTCTGGAGGGAGGTGCTGTGTAATGTGCTCTGTGCCCTTCAGAGTTTCCTCCCTGCAGTCCTCTATCGCTGTAGCAGGCGTGCTGGACCTGAACTCTGAGCTGGACCCCCGTTGTGCTGAACTTGCCGTGACCTTGGGCCTGTGATTGGCTTTCTCTACACTTCAGATTCTTCATCTGTACAATGGCGATATTAATAGTACCTACCTCATGCATGATGCTGTTGGAAGGACTGAGAGTTGATCCGTGTAAATAGCTTAGAATAGTGCCCAGTCATAGTCATATATGACAGTTGTATTTGCTGTCTTAAAAATGATGGTCGGAGCTTCTGAGCAGGCAGTGCATTTGGGGAGTGGTGTCCTATGAAATAACCGGTATAGCCAGGTTGGGCACCACATGAGACCACAAACAAAGAGTTTTAAAATAAACAGAGCATCCCCCCATCCCAGCCCTGTGGACTCCCTGATTAAACTGCAGCACGGGTCTCTGCTGTCGGAGAAACCCTGTGGTGCACACGAGGTAGGCCGAGCAGAGTGCCCGGTGAGCAGGGTGAAGTGTGAGGAGGAGGAGGATTAAGTTGCCAGATTGACCTGAAAAGAACTTGAGCAAGGGTGGCATTTGGGTCAGGAGTTGATCCCTGAGCAGATTTTTGGTAGTGGGGAAGTTGCAGTTCACCCCAGGGGTAGGGACGGGTGGGCCTGTGGTGGTCATCCCGAGCCGCAAGAACCTGCAGCTGACTGGACAAGGTTTAGATGCAGAAAAATCTGAAAACATAAAACTGATTTTGTCAGGGTTTTTTTTTTTTTTTTGAATGTGTGTTTGAGGGTACTTAAAAAAATTCGTGGGAAAATAGAGTGAAGGGGTAATTTGCATTTTCCACGGATTTTCTGATGTAGCCTTATGTAGATCTTTTTTCCCCACAAAACTAGGAGTGTGTTGTGATTACACTGTTGTCATCTTGGGGTTTTTATTTATTTATTTATTTTCTAACTTTTATTAATGTATTTGAAAGGCAGAGTTACAGAGAGAGTGAGGGAGGGAGAAGTTTTTCATCTGCTGGTTCTCTCGCCAGCACAGCCAGCACCAAACCAAGTCAAAACCAGGAGCTTCTTTTCTGTCTCAACCTTGGTTGGCAGGGAGCTGGATGGGGAGTGGAGCAGGCTGCTGGTTGGTCAGCTGTGCTATATTTGCCCACTGTGCCACAAAGCTGGTCCATGTGTTTCTTCTTCTTTAAGTTATAAGCATTTCCCCACCTAAAAAAGTACTGACCTGTTGTACATGTCCCAATTTGATAAAAAAGGAGATGATGTTTTAGACATTTATTTTTAGACCTGACCCAGGAATGGCATGGTGACTTATTCTAGTGTGTAGCTCGCCAGTGCATCCAAATGTGCAGGTAGCTGCCCACGGTGAATGGAAGGAATGTGTGCATGCCTGTGGCGGCAGGAGAGCTTCGCAGGTGCTGGGCAGCGTGGACAGCTCACACCTGCTGAGCATAGTCAGTGTAGCCCTCGGTATTTTTGCTATAGTCGGGCATTTTCTTTGCATAGATTCTCCCCTCCTGAAAAGGAGAGAGAGAGAGAGAGAGAGAAGAGAGAGAGAGAGAGAGAGAGAGAGAGTGTGTGTGTGTGTGTGTGTCCCATTGTTGATACTCAGATTCACCTGGGACGATTCCTCTTCAGAACCTGTCTGCAGCACCTCCTAACTTGGAAAGACATGAGACTTGTTAATGAGCTTGTTAGGCCAGTCCCTAGAGTTTTTGAAACCCCTCTTCAGAACTACAGGAGCACTTTGAAAGTTTGTGAAGACATGGGATTTACAAGATGCGCTTATTTGGATGCAACAAAATTTTGCCATCCTCATGTAGTTTTTTTTTGGGGGGGGGGGATTGTTTTAAATGTTTATTTGAAAGGCAGAGTTAGGAGAGACAGATCTTGCTTCTGCTGGTTCAATCCCCAGATGACTGCAGTGCCTGGAACTGGGTGGGTTCAAAGCCAAGAGCTTCTTCTGGGTCTCCTGCTGAGGACTTGGACCATCTTCCTCTGCTTTTCCAGGGACATTAGAAGGGAGCTGGATCAAAAGTGGAGAAGCTGGGACATTATTAACTGGTATCCATATGGGATGCTGGCACTGTAGGCAAAGGCTTAGTTTACTGCACTATGGCACAGACCCCTCCACCTCTCGTTACTCACAGCGTAGCTAGTGTTAACAGTGGCTCACATGGCAGCCAGAGAAATAGGGGGCAGCGGCTGTCAAGTGTGGTCCAGGACCAGCAGCAGTATCATTTAGGTGCTTATAGGAAATGCAGGTTCCTAGGCCCACTTGAGACCTGCTCAATGACAAGCTCTGGGGATGGGCCCTAGCAACCTGTATTTTAATAAGAGAATGCTGTCTAATATATGCCAAAAATTGAGAATTACAAGCATGGATTTGTTGGATTTTGTTCTGAATGCTTGTTGATTTATTTTTATTTGAGAGGCATAGTGTGACAGAGATGAAAAGACACCGGGGAAGTGGGGGTTCACTTCCCAAATGTCTGTAGCTGCTGGAACTGGGCCAGGCTGGAGCCATGAGCTTAGACCTTCATGTGGGTCTCTCACATGGCAGGGACCCAAGCGCTCGAGTCGTCACCTGCTGCGCCCCAGGATGCATTGGGAGAAACGTGGGTGGGAAGCAGAGTAGCTGGGACCTGGACCATTCATATCAGCATTCTGATATGAAATGCAGGTATCCTGAGAGGTGGCTTAACTTGCTGTGCCACAGTAGAAGCCCCCAGAATCTGAGTGTCTGCAATGCAATACTTTGTAATGTAATTTCTGAAGTCTCTTAGCTATTTGATTCTAGTAAATTATTCTTAGGAGTTAAAGGACTATGATCCATACCCACTGTCAGTGATTAAGATTATCATTTATTGGAGAATCTACACAGTGTGGCTCTTCTCCTGCGATTAGCACACCTTTACATGCTGAATGTACAACATTTGAATACCGTTTCAATGGCCTCAGTTTGAAGTTCATCTGTGGAATGAAGGTTAAGGCCCTTTTCTTTGCCTCATATTCTGATTTCCCTCACAACCCACATGTGTTGCTTTGTGCTGACCCCTGGCTAGGGAGAATTCTGAGCCTTTCTGGTATGAGGGGGATTTGATGGAGCAAGAGCAGACATCCAATGGGCTTCTTGAATTGGTCTAGATGAAGTCATAGAAACAAACCAACCTGGCTCTGTGATTTGTCATAACCTGGACTTTGGGGTAATGGCTAAAACGTTTGAGATGTTGGGATTCTGTCAGATTCTTGCAGTGCCGTGCAAAGAATGAGTGGTTGCATCCAAGACTGGGTGGTGACTATCTCACTCTGCCTTGCGATCCAAAGGGCCAGTTGTACTAGGGTAGGAGGGGGCATGGCTTGGTAGCAGGTGTGTGCAGCTTTGGCCAGGATAGTGTTCAATGAGTGCTACATAAATGGATTAGATGTTAAGATCCATTAATAGCAGAAGTCTCAGAACCACCACTTTACTTGGCGTGGTTAAGGGTTCTGTTTGCTTCTGGGTCGCACTCAATGGAAGGTTGAGCACGCTGGAGTTTGTTTAAAGGTTGGAGATTGCAGAAGGAGCCTACTGATTGAAGGTGTACTGAAGAGGAGCTGGGCTGCAGGGCAGACCCATGTAACTATTCTCCTGTAGCCGCAGAAGGATTCTGTTAGCTTATCTTGTGTGGCTCCATGTAGTCCATCAAGCCCACAGGCTACAGGAGAACTGATGTGCTGTGTTTATAAGGAGAGACCTGGAGTCTGTTGTCTGAAGGTGGACTGTGAGCTCCTTAGCCCTCTCTGGACATCATCTGTTTCTGTGGCTGTAGCCTTGTGTTTGCTAATTCTGGTAGCACTCATGGACTATTTGTTAAGCATCTTTTTCTTTTTGATCTGTTACTTCCTTTTCCTTCAAGACTTATTTATTTGACTGGCAGAGTGAGAGAGAGAGAGACAGAATTTTCCATTTGCGGGTTCGTTCCCCAAATGGCTGGAACAGTTGGGGCTGGCCCAGGCCAAAGTCAGGAAGCCGAAACTCCATCTGGGTCTATCCACGTGACACAAGCCTTCCTCTGTTAACCTCCCTGGGTGCATGAGCAGGGAGATGGATTGAAATAGAGCAACCAGAACTTTGACATGGTCTGTGTCGTAAGACCTGTCGGCTCAACTGGCCAACTCACATCAATGGCCCGCTGCTGTTTTCTTCCCCTCTTAGCTCTCTGTTGAATTTGTGGTGAGGGTGAAAGAGGAGAAGGAAGAAAAAGATCACCCTGGTACTTAGCTTTTTTTCCTTCTGCCTGTTCGTCAGCCCTTGGAAGCTGAGGGCAAATCTTGAGTAGTCGTCAGACAACTGGAGTCATAATTAGTGGTCAGCCCTGAGATTCACCTTGTAAACTTGGTTAGTACAGCCGTGCAGAGGAGGAACCAGCGCGTCCGCTCAGGGTTGGTGCCTTCTGTCTGTCCAAGGTTTTGTTTGAAGTTTGTTAGAAGAGTGGAGCTTGCAAATTGCTTGCCCGCCTCACTGTGCCCCTCCTTTTTCCTCTTCCTCCAGAGGCAGTTGCCCAGGGATCCCTCCGTTTACAATGGCTCAGAGAACTGGACTGGAGGATCCAGAGCGGTATCTCTTCGTGGACAGGGCTGTCATCTACAACCCGGCCACCCAAGCTGACTGGACAGCCAAGAAGCTCGTGTGGATTCCCTCCGAACGCCATGGTTTCGAGGCAGCTAGCATCAAAGAGGAGCGGGGGGACGAAGTGGTGGTGGAGCTGGCGGAGAACGGCAAGAAGGCGATGGTCAACAAAGATGACATCCAGAAGATGAACCCGCCCAAGTTCTCCAAGGTGGAGGACATGGCAGAGCTGACATGCTTGAACGAGGCCTCTGTTTTACACAATCTGAAGGATCGTTACTATTCCGGGCTTATCTATGTAAGTACCCACCCCCAAGCCACATCACCCTGGCAAATGGGGACTGAGAATTTGTGCACACTACCTGTCCTATCACAGAAGAATGTGGAACATCCCCACCCCCTGTGATGATGGTAGAAAGATTGGCTCTCTCATCCCCAAGTCTCGCCACCTTTTTGTCTTCAAACTCTGAACTCCAGTGGTGCAGGGGATGGTGATGGTGCCCCAGAGCATGAGGGGCGTCGGGGGCATATGACAGGAAGCCAGGGAAGTTAATCAAGTGAAGGGAGTCATGTTGCTGGGAGAATGCAGGCAGCGCACCGGTTGGCAAGCAAGCACGTGTTGAGGAGGATAGAGCTGAGGAGCTGGGAGCTTCGAGGCTTCAGGGGGCACCAGGGAGTTGGGAGGATGAGCTGCTGAGGTTTCTCAGAGGAAGTAGTTGAGGGTGAAACTGGGGTTGAGTTTGACCTGTGGTTAGCAGCTGACACATAACTGTGGTTGCTGCCCTTGTGGCTGACCCTAGAGAAGCGGCTGGAAATAAGGGATTGGGCAGAAAGAGCAAAGACACAAGCCATAGGCTGAACATGAATCTAGAGCAACAGATAGATGGAAGAGGTACCAGTGACTGGAGGAATGTACAGTAGACGTGGCGTACACGTCTTAGAACGAGGAGTGAAAGAGCTGGCAGAAGAGTAGCCTGAGATTGGGAATCTGTTGAATTGTATGCAAGAAATGTGCTACTGAAGCTGCTGAGTACCTCAAAATTGAAAGCGAAACATGTCTTCCAAAGGGATTCGTTTATCTAGGCACTAGTTACTGAGCACCCTCTGTGTTGTAGGTGCTGGGGACGGTGTGGTGTACTCAACAGGCCAGTCCCTTTGTGATGTGGGGCTGAGGGGGGGGGAGCAGGGAGAATGGCATTTTGCAGCAGGAAGGGGTAAGGGGGTGTCGTTTGAGCTGGAATCCAGCCGATGGGAGAGAGCCAGCCCCCATGGGGAGAGTTGAGAAGTGGACAGCTGACTCCTGACCTTGGCCAGAGTAGTCGTCAGCTCCCTGGTGTTTCTCTGTGAGACAGGCTGCATGGTGCGGGCAGGAGGCTACAGGGTTGGGAAGGTGGTCTGGCCAGTCAGGAGAGCAGCAGCAAGGGGCTGACAGAGACCCAGTCCCAGCCGCATTGGATTTTGCCAGGCCGCGAGGGCCGGAAGCTCAGTGGCTTCATGGCTGGCACGGCCCAATGGGGCAAGCCCAGTGCCTCTTCCTGGAGTCCAGTCTCTGTAGGCAAGGATTCTGGGCAGGAGTGGCACACAGGTCAGGGCTGCAGCTTTGGTGTGTTTTTTTTTTTTTTAAATTAAAAAAATTTTTTTAAAGATTTATTTTTTATTGGAAAGTCAGATACACAGAGAGGAAGATCTTCCGTCCAATGATTCACTCACCAAGTGACCTCAATAGCTGGAGCTAAGCCAATCCAAAGCCAGGAGCCTCCTCAGGGTCTCCCACGTGGGTGCAGGGTCCCAAGGCTTTGGGCCATCCTGGACTGCTTTCCCAGGCCGCCACAAGCAGGGAGCTGGATGGGAAGCGGAGCCACTGGGTTAGAACCGGTGTCTGTATCGGATCCCGGTGCATGCAAGGTGTGCAAGCCACTAGACTACCATGCCAGACCTAGGGTTTTGTTTTTAATCAACATGTTGAAATCATGTATTTATGGGATATAGTATGACATTTTTTAATAGATGTATTCAGTATATAATGATCAGATGAGGACAATTGCCATAGCCATCACCTTTAATGTTTCTTTGTGGACAACAACAAAAGTCCTGTTCTGTCTCCCAGCTTTTTTGAAATCCAGTTTCTCCAGCCAGTGTTCTCTGGTATGTTTCTGTCCAGCTGTGCCCTTGCACCTGTTCACATCTTCTTGCCCTCTGCCATCCCCAAGATGCTGGGAAAGGACTACAGATGATGATGAAGAATGTGTGTTGAATGAGAGCGAGAGAATAATAGGAAAAGGCAGAGAGCGGCAGACTGATGTAGACATGCACAGTGGGAGTGGCAGCTGCATCCGCTTTGGGGGGCAGCGCTGTGCAGTGAAGGATGGTGCATAGCTCCAGGGGTGCTGGGATGAGAGTAAGGCACGAAGGCCATCGTCCTCAGGTCTCCACATGGACTGGGTGGAGGGCCGAAGCCAGAGGCGGAAGGGGGTAAGCAGGAAAGGGAAGAGGGATGGTGGCTGTGAGGGGCAGGAAATGACAGGAAGGACAGTATTTGTAACTACTGATCATTGATTTCACAGTTCTGAGATTTTTCCAGTTTAGATTTCTTTTTCCATCTTAATTCAGTGACAACTTGGAAGCGTTTCCGAGTAGAGTAGCTCCCTCCAAGGTGGGGCCTGGGGAGGACCGGGTCTTCTAGGCACATGGAGGAGAGATGCCAGCCTGATTCTAGCTGGAAGACTTCTGGAGGAGTCTTGGGGAGAATGAGGCTGTGGACAGTACCACCTATGACCATTGGGATACACTGGGATGGGGCTTTGGAGTTGAGATTAATTCTGTTGAAAACTGATTGACGTGCCCTGATACACACAGTAAAATAGTTTGGGTGGGTCCTGTCTGGCCACATTGCTGTAGGTTCATTTTAAATGACAGGTTGCTAACAGCTTTAGATATATTCTTTCTGCATATTTTATTTGCATTTATTCTTCTTGACCTCCAAATTCTGAAGTCATTAATTTTCCTTTTTTTCCTAACACGACTATTTAAGAAAGTTATGTACATCTCCTCTAATACTGTTTCAGATCACCTTACTGAGTTTCACTAGGTGGTTTGTATTACTCAGTTCCAAATATTTTCTCATTTCCATGATGCTTTCGTCTTTAGCTCACAAACCATTCAAAAGTGTACTTTTAAGAATTTCAGATATGACTTTTTTGTTTTTATTTTAAAATAATTGCATTTTAGTGTCATTCATGTATTCATCCTCATTTTGTTGAGGCTTTGTTCGGATAGCATTGCCAGTTTAAAAAAAAAAAAGATTTATTTTTATTGGAAAACAGATTTTACAAAGAGAAAGATCTTCCATTTGCTGGTTCACTCTCAAGTGGCCCCAGTGGCCGGAACTGAGCCAGTTCACCTCCAGGAGCCAGGAGCTTCCTCCGGGTCTCCCACATGGGTGCCGAGTTCCAAGGTATCGGACCGTCCTCAGCTGCTTTCCCAGGTGATGGACATGGAGCAGGACCGGAAGTAAAGTAGCTGGGACACTGGGTACTCATATGGGATCCAGGTAGTTTCAAGGAGAGGATTTAGCTAGTAGGCCATTGTGCTGGGTCCCAAGAATTTATTTTTATTATAAAGGAAGACTTACAGAGAAAAGAAGAGACAGAGAAGAAAGATCTTCTGTTTGCTGGTTTACTGCCCAAGTAGCTACAATGGCTGGAGCTGAGCCCATCTGAAGCCAGGAACCAGGAGGTTTTTATGGGTCTCTCATGTGAATGCAGGATCCCAAGGCTTTGGACCATCGTTTACTGTTTTCACAGAGAGCTGGAAGAGAACTGGAGCAATTAGGACCTAAACTGGCATCCATGTGGGATTCCAGCACATGCAAGGCAAGGATTTAGTTACTAAGCCATCATGCCAGACCCTATTTTTTATTTTTTTAAGATGCATTTATTTGGGCCCGGCAGCACAGTCTCGCGGCTAAAGTGCACACCTTGAACGTGTTGGGATCCCATATGGGTGTGGGTTCTAATCCAGGCAGCTCCACTTCCCATCTAGCTCCCTGCTTGTGGCCTGGGAAAGCAGTCGAGGATGGCCCAAAGCCTTGGGACCCTGCACCTGCGTGGGAGACCTGGAAGAAGTTCCTGGTTCCCGGCTTTGGATCGGCGCAGCATCGGCCGTTGCGGCTCACTTGGGGAGTGAATCATCGGACAGAAGATCTTCCTCTCTCTCTCTCTCTTCCTCTCTGTATATCTGACTTTCCAATAAAAATAAATCTTAAAAAAAATGCATTTATTTCTGTGTTGGGAAGAAAGAGTATCATTCTGTCTGCTGGTTCACTCCCCAAATGGCTTCAATGGGTGTGCCAGGTCCAGCTCCAAGTCAGAGGCCTGGAATGCTATGTGGATGCCCAAGTAGGCCATCTTCCACTGCCTGCCTAGAAACATGAGCAGGGAGCTGCATGGATGCAGATTAGCTAGTGCTGGAACTGGTACCAAATGAGATGCTCACACTGCAGACTGCAGCTTTGCTTATTGGGCCACACCACTAGCTCCTACATTGTTTTTATGAGTGTTTGTAAAGATTGTATATTTTGTTACTGTTGGGCTTAGGGTTTGATAATGTGTCCGTTAGAGTGAGCTCTTTTATTGTGTTGTTTAAATCTTCTACATGGCCTTACTAATTTTTATGTCTGATGTGTCGGTTACTGTTTTAAGTTCCATGTTATTGACGTTCTAAGATGTTGTCTGTGGATCCCTAGGGTTTCCCCAGGACTTTGTTGGTTTTGGAAAATGCAATTTTTCCTTAGTAATGTATGTTATTTTGAAATTAATAACACATTAAAAAAACGCAAATAAAGATTTATTTTATTGGAAAGGCAGATATACAGAGAGGAGGAGAGACAGAGGGGAAGATCTTCTGTCCGATGGTTCACTCTCCAAGCAGCCGCAAAGCCCGGAGCCAGGAACCTCTTCCAGATCTCCCACGCGGGTGCTGGGCCATCCTTGACTGCTTTCTCAGGCCACAGGCAGAAAGCTGTATAGGAAACGGGGCTGCTGGGATTAGAACCAGTGACCATATGGGAGCCCGGCAGGTTCAAGGCGAGAACTTTAACTGCTACACTATCACACTGGGCTCAGGATTCTTAACATTTTGAGTGTAAAAATGGCCCTGAAATGAAGAAAGATTTTAGTTCTTTCCGTTGATTGTAGTATTCTATTGCAAAATCTCTGATCCAGTGTGTTTATCTGCACAGCCGTCTTGGTTGGTTTGGGTTTTTTCTCCATTTTTGTGCTCGTATGAACAGTCCTATTG